GGCGGATGTTGCCAGATATTACAGAAATGCTTTAAGATGGATGTCAACTAAATACCTAGTGAATCTTGACATTATTTATGTCTGTTTCTGTTTCTGTTTCTGTGTGTGTGTGTGTGTGTGTGTGTGTGTGTGTGTGTGTGTGTGTGTGTGTGTGTGTGTGTGTGTGTGTGTGTGTGTGTGTGTGTGTATGTGTATGTGTGTGTGTGTGTGTGTGTGTGTGTGTGTGTGTAACTGAGAATTCTCAGGAACTCCAATTGTTAAGCTGATGAATCTTTCTCAGGAATAATAGTAAGTCCTTCCCCTGCATAATATTGTCACTTTACAATAAGCAATAAAAGACAGAGAGCATATAATGACATTTATTACAAATATTTGATAAATGTAACCACATATTAGCCATACACATTTTTATCACATGCACATTTGTAAATCAAACCTTGTAAGTTGACCCTCCTTTTGACCAATCTGAGATGTACAATGATTATGAAGCAGTAATTCTTAGATAATTGTTGCAAAAGTTACAAACTTATAATTGTTGCAAAAGTTACAAACTTTTCAAGACTTTAAAAGGTCCAAACTGACATGTTAAAGCCCACAAGATTAATATGACAAGTGTTTTCAAGAACAAATAAGTATCATCCATTTTTACAGGAGGGAAATGGCTGAAGAAGCAGGTCACCGTTCTGCCAACACTTCACTTTACATGAAACTTTAAAGAACGCATTTGCTCTCTCATCACCCTCAGCATGTTTTACCTTGCTTCTCTGCGCCAACTCCCTTCCCCTTTTTTCCTGGCAATCTTTGCATAAGCCCTCTCTGCTCTTCTGTCAGCTTTAATTAGGCCAATGTGTGTGCCCTATGTGTGCATCAATGTGATTGTGGTTTTGTGTTTTGAAGTGGTCATAGGAGGCCCATCCCATTGCTGTTTCTTCCCAATTGGTCCTGCAGGTTGAAGGGAGACACACACACACACACACACACACACACACACACACACACACACACACTATTGCTGATGCTAGGAGCAGGCCTACAATTGGATCTAATGACCCGCTATACAGTTGCACTCCCACTCCTTCCTTCACAGCGTAATATTAAAACGGTGTTCGACCAACGGCAGAAGCACAACAGCAACAGACAGGGACGTGCACAGACATTTTGGGGGGCGGGAGATCAAGTGAGAAAAAGGGCACTTCACATAATCATTTATAAAAAAAATTTTTAGTTCAAATAAAAAGTTAAATATAGTTTCACATCTCTGATTTATTGACCAATTTATTTTAATCTCACACTCACACTCACGCAATTGTTTAATACTCAACAGAATTCTACAAAATAATCAGCTAACACAGAGATGGTCTTCTTTAGTATTCACTAAGCACAAGAGCAGACAAAAACTAGTACAATTAATAGTTATTAAATGAGCAGCCAACAATCAAAATTATGAAGTTACTGTTTAAGGCAGGACATTACAGGCAAAAAGATCGTTTTTTCATGTACTTGTTATTTTGGTCTATTTTGCTTCCATGTTTTCTTTCACTCTAATGGAAATAAAACTTCCAAGAAACACATAAATGGTGTTCGTTTTACTACCATGTCTGAATTCATCTATAGATTTAAAGCTAATCTGCATTTAAACATAACATTTCAGATTTTGCATAATAGGTCCCCTTTAAATCACTGGCGGCTGGTGCATTTTTCTCTAGGGGGGGCTCTACCAAAATTTAAGCAAACTTATACACAGACTCAAAACATATGTCATATTACAACGCAGGGCTAGCTCAAAGGCACATAGCACTTGATACAGTCTATTATTTTAGTGCCTGTTTATGTCAACCTCCTTATTATGCTTACTTATCCCTATCCTGTATCCTTCATGCTATCTGCACAAACTAGATATCATATGAAAGCTGAGATTCCACAGATTCCATTGGTATACTGTAAGTATCATCACTGTGCGACCAAAACTCACGGCGGCGAAGGCCAGGAAAGACAACACACAACTTCACTTTACGGGGCCAAAACGGGGGCCTTTGCTGTTTTCTGATCAAAAGTTGTGTTCAACTGATAATCCATCATAACATTTATGGCAATAAACATATTTTTCATATAGAGTGTAACGGAGCTTTCGGTTTGGGCAAACTGCGTGCGCATCACTCTCACTCCTCAATGGTAATGTTTAGGTGGATTTAGGAACCCCCCCTCGAATCTATTGGCTCTAACGCTTACAAAGAGGTGTCAATCACCAAAATCGACCAATGGGTTCCAGAGATACGGCAAATACACCCAAATGTACCCAGAGGTTGGTTTTTCTTTTCTAAACCTCTCTAAAAAGGTCACATTTCACTTGTTTTGCATCAATCTTGATACAAGGTACGTATTATATGTTATAGTTTGGATTCCTAAAGGTTTTTGGCTACTATCCCATCATTCAAGAGTGGTTTTCTTTATAAGTAATGTTTTTTTTTTAGACGGAAACTATGTTCAATCTGAATTTACTTAAAAACTTCTATACTGATTCTGACATTTCTACAGCCAACTCACAGGTGTATCATTGCTTTGAGAAAAAAGATGATTAATTTACCCCTTTTAGAAGTTCAAGGTCACCTATCATGCTATTTGTAGGCAATAGCATAGGTCTCAGATATATACAAATATATAAAAAACATGTCTATGAAGTGTTTTGCTCAAAATACCAAACAGATCACCCATTCTGGCCATGCCTCATATCCCTCTATTTCACTTCCTGTTTTAAAAGTGCTGATTTGGGGTATAAAGCTTTAAAAAAAGAAATTTGATTAAAAAAAAAGGGGGGGGGGGCTGAGCTCATGCGGGAGATTCTACCGGCAGATACTGCGGGGATGAAACGCCATATCATGGATTATCAAGGATTATTTCTGAAACAGTATGGAGCTCAAAGGCTTTCTCTCTTGCCGGTTATACCATAAATTGAGTTCCTTTTTATTTCCTGCTTCTTCACACACATGCTCTGTGCAGTACAGGTTAGCTCTGAGTGTTAGCGATGCTAATGTAAACATGCACCGACCATATTACGTCCAAAACAGTCGGGCATTGTTTCTGATAGCAACGTTTCTGATAGGGCCGTGGGTGTAAAGCCAGCCTACATTTCCGATATTACGTCATATCGGACGCAAATCTAAATCAGCTCCGTGGTAGCCCCGTTTTTAGAGATGTAGGTACGGAGGAAAAGAGAGAGGGTTTTATTTTCTGACGCTGCATGTGTTCCCCGACACACCGGGGACACATATTTATGTATAAAAGACATCAAAAAGTGCATTTTGCATGATAGGTCCCCTTTAAGATATAGTCATTTGTTCTGGGCATGTCAATTTCGAGCCTGAGACCTGAAAAACAGGCTCAGGGCTTAACAGGTTTTAATGACAATCTAGAATGTGGGAAGAGGTGGAGCGGCGCCCCTAGCGCCCCTATGGGCCAGCCGCCACTGGTAGAAATCCCTTAAGCTTGTGTTAAACACAGACTTTATTTCAGGCATCTTACCAAAAGTACGGTTAGAAAACCATTGACTTCCAGTGAAGTGGGCAAGTGGCCAAACGAATGTTGGGATTTTAGGTCTCATTTCTGTACCACTCTATTAATACACACCTTTACTGGATACTCAATTCTGATTGCTTATATTATTAAAGTGAATATAAAACATTTTCTGTTGCTTTTACCTAAATGTTCCTGCCGGTTATGCTGTTTAATCTCATATTACATTTTTGATGAACAATTTCTCAATTTGTGGTCCTGATGATGTTGCTTGTAATTAAAAAAAACTGCCTCTTTGTCATGAGTATGATCAAAGCTGGATAGGAAAGAGTTAATTGAGGCAGGTATGTTGGTTAGTCAAAAACAGGCGAGTAGTGTCTTGTCTGCGGAATGCTCTTTGATGGTTTCACATGGACTGTTTTATGGACTCAAACTGGCAAGATACAGAAACAGCTTTGTTCATGTATTTAACTAGTACAAAGCCAGACCTTACAGAGAGCTAACACCACCCTCTATCGGCCGCTTGTGGGTTGATCAATGGTACTGTGCACAATAAAAGGCAGTTCCATGGTTGCTTAAATAAGGGTTACAGGTTACATAAACACTTAGGCTTGCATCAGCCGATCGACTTGCGACCTTCTCACTGCGAGTTAGAACCCTTCATCAAAATAACACCTGTTATCCTGGCCCCAAAATGGTGGAATTGTTGGCAGCAGGTTGTCTACATAACTCTGTTGCAAACTGAAAACCCACTTGTTTTGCTTGTATCTTGGCGATTAAAACCCAACACACACAGACACACACAAACGTTGCAGGACTTAAAGAGTTTAGCCCATTTGAACTTAATGCACCACCACTTGCATTGGTTTGGCTTATCTTAAGCGAATATATCTGCATTTTTCTTGTTGTTCCAAGTTTATATCTTTATGGTTTATTGCACTATGAGTAAGGTTGCTATGGATAAAAACATCAGCTAAATGTAAAGTAACGTAATTGGCATCTGCCCCAATATCTTTGTGTTGCTTGTGTTCAGCCTACATTAAACACTGGTCCTACGGGTTAACGAGAGGGTTTGTCCGACTCTTGTCAATTAATCAGTGGTCCCCCTCCTTATTTATCTGTACAAAAATGCCCTTGCCTCTGCCATTTGCTTTGACGGTCTCTTCTATCATAGCTACCCAGAGGACAATCAACCAATTGTTATTTCCCCTGTCTGAAACCCAATTGAACACATGCATCTCTGCTTGTCTGGCTGATATCTGTCAGCCGACGTCTACACGCCACTTAAAGCTCAACCTAAACAAGACCGTACTGCTTTTCCTTCCAGACAAAGGACTCTATTGCTGTTCTGAGTCGTAATGGTTTACTGCACTTATTGTAAGGCACATCAGCTAAATAACGTTTATTTTAATGTAATACATGGCTTTACTTTGACCTGCTGGCAAGTATTCAAAAGTAGTTAATATGTTATATGAAGACACACACAAGTGTTAAAGATTTCTACTTTTTAATTCAACAAGTGACCATTCAGAACATACAATAAAACATTTACAACTTTAGTAACTCAATGAACAATAAAAGCTTTTTACATTAATAAAACATTTACAACTTCAGTAACTCAATGAACAATAAAAGCTTTTTACATTATAAAAATATTGATAATTGATAAAAAAAAATGCAAAAAAAATAAATAAGGTCCTTCATGTGGAAAATCCTTGTTGAAGTAGCTGTTATTGGTCTTTCTCCCTTGACCAAATATCCTAATCGGGTACGGTTGCGTTCACAACAGTACTATAAGGTCCGTACCGGCCAAACTTGCCAATCACAGCGACACACACCGTGTGGCCGGGCTTGTATTTACTGATCATAACACACATGGGTAGTGGGACGGCTTCCACCTCACCAAGGGCTGTCCAACTTGGAAAGACGCCGCTACCCTTTACCTTCTCCATAGTCATGAAGAGGCTGCATCAGGGACAGAGAGACAAAATGAAAATGGGTAAGCCGAGACATTTTATAAGGAAAGCTGTAGTCACTGGCTGAAATATGCTTCCATCTGGTGGTCATATGTCGACATAAGCAGTAGGGCTGTACCCGAATATCCGAATATTCGTTCTTTGGAGTACTATTCGGGTTTCAATTTCGTTATTCGGATATTCGTTTAGTTTTTTCCCCGTTTTTTTTCCAAATTGAATGTATTGAAATCTCCAATATCAACGTAAGAGCTTGTGCCTCTTCGGGGGGTGCTAACACTTAACCATAAACGTTATCGTTTACTTTCTCCGTCTTTATATGTAGGTATTACTTTTCTCCGTTAATCTCCGTCACGTTGTTTCCAAAGCAACAACAACTTCCTGTCAACTCCGCTAACTCTCCTTCAAAATAAAAGCATGTCCATAAATAGGAAACCAAGGTTGCATTCGAATAGTCCATTTAGCTTAGGAACCTTCCTAACGGAGTGAAATGACCCGGAAGTCCCTCAGTGGCAGCCATGATAAGTGCCGTTCGAATTCTCTAAATTAAAAGGAAAGGAGGTTTCAAACTTCCTTTATAACCTCCTTTAGCTTAGGAACCACTGGACCTCCCTAACCGAAAGGAGAGGAGAAAATGCTGCCCCACAATGCCTTGCGGCCGCAGCATTTGCCGTCACACAACAGTCGGCCGTTCACGGAAACAACCGATTATGAACGAGAAATGATATCATGAAAGTTACGGTGCTTATTAAGCATTTTAAAACGTATGTGGTAAGTTGCCAAAGTGCTTTGTTTTGAACGTTCATCAGTATTATAATCAAAAAGAGAAATATGAACGTTAGTTTTTACTGAAATGATCAAATAAAGTCAACATTTCACAGTCTTTACTGAGCTGTGTGGGGTTTGTTCAACTTTTAAAAGATGTTTGAATGGTGATATACACAGTGATAGATGTTAAGGACTAACCGTTATAATAAATACATTTGTATTGATTTTAAGATCTTTTCATACAATCATACGTATTGGGATCATTTGTATTAATGTGGACCGGAGGGAGAGGGTGACAGTTTCACTTTCCTTTTTTATTTCAATTCCAACTTTGGTTTGATTGATTGATTGAAAAGTTTATTAACAGCTTGTATATTGGGTACAGTACAGTACAGCTCAAAACATACAATTGTTAAGGGGATGCAGACCAGAGAAAGACTTTCGTCTTGTTTACATCAGGGTCCCCCATTTCCAATTCATCATATCATTTAAGACATATAAGACATATATGACATACAGATGGCTTATTTACAATTTACATACAGGTGGTTTTTTACATACAGATGGATTATTTACAATTTTCATTTTAGATTTCGTTCTAATACATCCTAACCGGACATTTAAGACATACCAAGTCTACAGATATACAGTTAGTAACAGAGTCTAAAATGCGAGTATATACATAGATGGGGGGGGGAAGCTGTCCATTGTACGACAGGTTGAGATTTGTACCATTACCGGGGCCAGTTTTGCAATGCTTTCCCCCGAAGGTGCTCTTTAAGAGAGGTTTTGAAGGTAAGTATAGTTTTACTTTCCTTTACAGTTGTGGGAAGAGCGTTCCACCTTGATGTGGCATAATTGCGAAACGTGTATTCCCCTTTTTTTGTGCCAAATCTGGGTTTTACATGATTTGTGGAGCTCCCTCTGGTGTTATGATCATGGTATTCCTTGACCTTTGGGAAGAATTTTGACATGTACATGGGTACCATAGAGGTGTAGTGGATCTTGTAGACCAGGCCCATTGCAAGTAGCTGTACTCTGTCGTCTACTCTAAGCCATCCTAGGTTGTCAAAGTGGGCAGAGGTGAGGTGGGTTCTAGATGAAAGGTCAAGCAGTAGTCTGACCAGTTTATTTTGCGATGTTTGAAGTTTTGTTTTTAGCGCCTTGGAGGTGCTATGGTACCATGACGTGCAAGCATAGTCATAGTACCCTTGAATGAGTGCTCCTGCCAGAGTTTTCAGGGTGTTTTTGTTTACCAGAGAGGAGATCCGGTATAGGAATCTAGTTCTTTGATTGACTTTTTTTATTACATTGGATGCCATTTTGTCACAGGAGAGGTTTGCCTCAAGAATAGATCCTAGGTATGTAATTTCCTTCTTACTTGTGACAATAATGTCACCCACTGCAACTGAGAAGTCGTCGGATTTGCTGAGATTATGTTTCGAACCGAAGAGAATGGACTCTGTTTTACCCAGGTGTAATGATAATTTATTATCGGCGAGCCAGGTGCAGATTCTGCCGAGCTCGGAGCTGAGGGTTTTTTCAACCTGCAATCTGCTCCTGTCAGAGACCAGCAGGGCTGAGTCGTCCGCGAACAGGAACAAGTTGCAGTCACATGCTGATGACATGTCATTTGCATAAATTAGGAACAGTAACGGACCTAATATGCTTCCTTGTGGAACACCACAGCTCACTGGGAGGGGGGGGGACAGAGTACCGTTTACCTCCACCATCTGTTCTCTCCCCTCCAGGTAGGATTGCATCCAGCTCACCGATAGTTTATCAAAACCAATTGCTTTTAGCTTGTCAATCAGAATGGGGTGATTGACAGTGTCGAAAGCCTTTTGTAGGTCCAGCATCACCATGCCGCAGTATTTACCCTCGTCCACCTCTTGTTTGATGTGGTCGGTCAAATAAAGAAGGCATGTGTCAGTGGAGTGGGATGTTCTAAAGCCAGATTGAAATTCATAGATTAGTTTCTTTTCTGCGAGGTACTTTTCGACCTGTTCATATACTATTTTTTCCATGACTTTCGAGATGGAGGTAAGTATAGAAACAGGGCGGTAGTTGCCTGGGTCCAATTTGCTGCCCTTTTTGTGCAGGGGGGTTACTCTTGCAATTTTGAAGTCTTTGGGTACTTTTCCCTGTTTTATGGAGAGGTTAATTATGTGAGCTATGACTGGTGAGATGGCAGTTGCTGTGTCTCTGAGGAATTTGGAGGGGATATTGTCGTGGCCAGTGGCCTTGTTAGGTTTGAGGGCGCTCAGTTTAATGAGTACCTCTGCTGTTGTTACCCTTGCTAGACTGAAATCATCTTTGCGTACCCCTAGGTTTTTGTAGTAGGTCATGATGTGATCTACTCCAAAAAGCCCTGAGTGGGAGGGTAATTTATTTACAAGAGTTGTGGCTATGTTTGTGAAAAAAATGTTCAAGTACTTGGCCACATCCAGTTTGTCTGTGATGAGCCTGTTATCTGTCTTTATGTTTACGTTTGAAAATCTCGTTTTGAGTTTTTTACTGCAGCCAAGCTGGTTATTGAGTAATTTCCAAAGTTCACGGGGTTTATTTTTGTTTTCCTCAGTTTTGTCATTGATGAAATTCTTTTTGGCAGTTTTGATCATGGAGCTTACGTCATTTCTTAGTCTGTTTCTTTCAATTTTTAGTTCAGTCACGTGGGCCTGGAGTTCACTGCTCGTGCTTTTGGAAAGCATTGACTGACTTTTATGAAACTCAGAGCATTTTTTGTCTCTGGTTTTCATGGCGGTCAGTATGCCGGAGTGCATCCACGGCTCAGCGCGATTTTTTACCCTGGTTGTTCTTAGGGGGGCCAAATCATTGAGTATTGCAGAGAATTTGTTTTTGAAACCAAGCCATGTTTCTTCAACTTGTGTACCACTGAGCTCATCTGACCAGTCCAGGCTCTCCAGTTCTAGGTTAAAGGCCTCGCTAGAGTAGTTTTTGAGGTCTCTAGATATGACTGTTTTGTGACAGCCGGCCTTTTGTTTTAGCTTTTTGCGGGTACAGAATATCATATAATGATCACTTAAACCGCATGCTATAACCCCTTTACTGGAGATCCTGGACCTGTCAGAGGTCAGAATGAGATCAATGGTAGTTTGTGTTGTTTCACATACCCGGGTGGGTTGGGTGATTAGCTGGCTGAAGCCGTGCAGATCACAAATCCTACTGAAGGACTTGAAGACGGACGTGTCTTTACGTTGCATATCCGTGTTCCAGTCTCCAATAATAATTGTCTCTACATCCCCCACATCAGCCAAACACCCATCTAATGTATCATAAAAGTCACTCTGTTCCGGTGGTCTATAGATTGTCCCGACTATTACAGATTTAGCATTGTCAAAAAGAATTTCAACCCACACAGATTCAATATTTTCATGATGCAGGTCAGTACGGTTTTTGAAATTGGTGTCTTTATGTATGTACATGCAGACACCACCTCCATTCACGTTCCTGTCCCTTCTCACTACAAGATAATCTTCAATTTCAATCTCTGAATCTGTAATGGAATTGTCCAATTTGGTCTCAGAAAAGCATAATATGCTTGCCTTACCGTTCATGAACAGTTGCCTGAGTTCAGCCAGTTTGTGTCTCAGACTGTTAGTGTTCAGATGAAAAATATGTATGTCATGAAGAATATGTTTCTCTGTTGTCCCCGTTCATAAAGCATAAAACAACAGCATCAGAGCACGGTGCAGAGTCTCTAGATGAGTTTACAGTAGTCCCTCGTTCTTATTAAACATCCATGTTGTAGTCCGCTGTATAGAAAACTGTAGTTTCCATAGTTTCCCCACAGCAGCAGGCGCACATTTATGACCTCTGCTGGCGCATCATAAACACGTCGGATAGTGAAAGTGCAGTCGGATTCTCTAAAGTGCCGCAGTCTCTTCTCCTAAATCCTTTTGAATTCTCCTATCCACTATCCCTTAACCCCATGACGTTTCACTCCGAGGTCAAGGAATAGACGATAGGGTTAGAACTTAGGAGCTGTTTTTTTGGAGTATTCGAACGCAACCCAAGCCAAATTACACTTAAGACATATACAACTGGAACGAAAGTAACAAACACAATGCGATATCCTTTTCAATTTCAAAGAACACAAATTGGGTTACATTAACAAATAACTATAAAACAACAATACTGTAGAATTACAAAAATGAATGCCGTGAATACACCGAAATATACGTGTTGAAGCAGTTCGCTGCTGATTTATCAATTGGCCGATTGACACAAAAAATAACGACAATTCTTTTGATGATCGATAAACAAATAAAATCCTTTTTCACGCAGAAATTTAGAAAATATTCAACACATTCTAAGGTTTAAGCTTCTCAAATAGCAGAGTGAGATGCTTTCTTTGTAACAAAAATGTAAACCGAATACATCTGGCTTCAAAAGCACTTAAACTATGCATCTGGAGCAGCCATTGTGACAATTTCATAGAAAAAGGGTCTTACATTGTAAATAACTACATTCTGATAATGTGTTCCCAATGCATGGTAGGAATATGCTCGATACTACATGCCCCCTCAATGTAGATGGGGCTTAAAACTTACATGGAAACCTGATACAAGCTGATTCTTTTCAAACAGATGAACATCTGCAATTCACCAATTGTTTTATGACATTTTAAAAAGAAGCAATGGAAATTAACTGGCGTTTGCTATTTAAAAAAGGTGAATTCCTGCAGGATGCCCAATGAATCAGTAGAGATTATCTGCATGTAGTTTACACATGTAGTCGGTGACCCATATGATTTAATTTGGGTCATTATAGCAGTTTATCTCGTCAGTTTTTTCTCCATGCATGAAAAATAATATCATTAGAAGCTACATTAGTTTAAAATGTAGCTATTCGAACCTCTGCATGTATACATATTTATATATATAAATAAATCAAAAGCTCTTACATTCATTGTCTTCTTGCATCTTTGTTAATCTCGTTTTGGTGCTTTTCTGGACAGAGAGAAAGGTAAACCGCCATATTAGCAGATTTTGAGCATAAACCCCTCATCTTTTCAATGAATGAGCAAACTACAATTAACTGTGTGAAAATCAAGTCTTCTCCTTAACAAACAAGGAGACATTTTAACATTTGTATTTAACAAATTATTCCGAGAAATGAACTGCATATTTACCATCATATTTAAGAACTCCACTCTCTTTTCCATGCTCTCAATGTCGCTTTTGAAACCTGAAAATGTAAATTGCATTGAACGAATACTCAACAATCCACAAATGCAAATATTTATAAAAGCAGGCTTGCTGGCTGAGATCTTACCAGGTGGGATTTTCTTATCTTTGGCAGAGTCTTCCCTGCAGGGGTGAACAAAACATCAAAAATGTCTCAAAATACAAACTAAGCAAAAGTACACAGGTTCACATGAGAGTTTTTACAGGGTTCTTACACCTTTTCAAAAGTCAAATTCAAGCACTTTTCAAGCATTTTCAAGCTTTTCAAGCATCTTACAGCTGTTGTAAATTACATATTTATATACACATACTTATACTCAAATGATTATTTCCCTACCTCACATTAAATCAGATGTTCTTTATGCTATAAACAACCAAATGTGTGTTTCGTGATAGCATTCTACATGAGGATGAAAAATGTAAGAAAAGAAAACTAAGTTTAATATTTCAAAATTAGTGATCTGTACGTAGAGTGGGCATCCCATATAACCTGGCTGAGCCAATATAAAACAATCAGCCAAATAACTTTTCAATACATTATTTTATTTTTTTCAATACATTATTAATTACTATTTTTGAGGTACTTTTAGGTTGGCAGTAAACATAAGTCAGAGGTAAATTGTGTACTTTTACTCCACTACATGTATTTCATACCTTTAGTTACTTTACAGATCTGGATGAATGATGTGAAATATAATCAAGGGTTAAATCAGACTTTAGTTCCACCTGGAGTAAATTCACAAGCTACCCTGCAGTATACAAAGTCATTCAAACTAGCTGCACCTTTACCAGCTTTGAGAACACTTTAATGATCAATCATTATAAAACATATCATATATATTATTCTGAAATGGACCAATCTGCACAACGACTACTTTTACTGTCGCTACTTTCACTATATTTTGATGAGAATACTTTTCTACTTTTACTTGAGGAACATTTTGAATGCAGGACTTTTACTGTAACAGAGTATTCCTACACTCTGGTACTTCTACTTTTACTCAAGTACAAGATCTGAGTACTTCTACTTTTACTCAAGTACAAGATCTGAGTACTTCTACTTTTACTCAAGTACAACATCTGAGTACTTATACTTTCACTACAAGATCTGAGTACTTATACTTTTACTCAAGTACAATATCTGAGTACTTATTCTACCTCTGGTAGTATATTAGCCTGAATTGTAGCCACAAAATCACGCAGAGCTGCATAAAAATAGACTCACAATGGTAACAAGTGGAAAATAATATTTACAAATGTGTACAATGATTTGTAGGTAATTTTGACTACTCAAGACACCTGACTTATACATCTTCAAAGGAAGACTGTGTGCATTCTACAATTACATGGGATTATAGCAACATGTAGTTTTACTTGTATATAATACTTCAATTTTATATAAAAGACAGTTTGTTTTCATCTGTTTTCAAATAAACAAAGTATTGGCTTTCAGAATATTAAACTTGTTTCGGCAAATTCAGATGATAAATACAACTTTGAAGCTTGTAACGGCATAATTACAAGCAGAGAACGGAGTAATTTAACATCACAGCAAGCATAACAACAGCCGGTGTTTCTTGTGAGTGTTTCCCCGGTACACAAACTCAAAAATACACAAACACAAACACACTCGCGAGCTTCCCCCAGACCAGTAATACAAACGAAAATGTGTCTTCGGGTCAATGTGACTGATTTCGATAGAGAAAGTCACATTTGGTTTAGGCACGAAACATACTACCAGTAGAAATACATTGCTTTTAAAATCGCTCTGTGTCGAATCAATAGATTATATTTCGTGACAATAACACAAAATGCCATGAGTGCTTCATCCGCTGAACACCACAGGATGGCGACTGACATAACATAGGTACGCTCCTCTGAAATGATTGTCCCCTGCAATTATTATTATCCCTCATCGAGTTCGCTATTCAGCTTGCTAACGTTAGCTTAAACAAACGTAACGTGCAACGTTAGCCTAATCTAAAATGCTCTACTACGGGTACCTTCCATGTGGCTCGTCAGTGCAGACTCTCGCATCGTTATTTTTGCAAACTTTGCAGGAGTGGGCTTGACCCTCGTCTTAGCCATGGCTTGTATTTGTCTTCTGCTAGCCAACGCTCGTTGAAAACGGCAACCTCCTGGCATACTGTCATCTATCACTCTCATCAGAATGCCCAGGTCATACGTTACAAAAACACTTGCCGGTCACGCGCATTGCGCGGGAAGGCCGGAGCGGAGCTGTTTTATGTAAAAGCGAAGCAATTAAGCGCGCTCCGACTTCTTTATTTTCTTTTAATCTAAAAAGCGAAGTAAAGCATTTACAATTTCAAGCACTTTATCCCAAATTCAAGCACCATTCCCAAAATTCAAGCACTTTTCAAACCTTGAAAACACCTCGTACAATTTCAAGCATTTTCAAGGATTTCCAGCACCCGTACGAACCCTGTTTTTACCACTGGACCCGGGTAATACACATACCTTTTAATCTTGACATTATCCAGAGATGGCTGTGGGTTCTGAAAGGCAATCAATTGTTTGGATCTCGTGAGGCAGTCTTTACTGTTTACATTTCAAACTGGATATAATAATCAATGGTACCTATTCTAACATATTCCATACAACCAAAAAAATGGAAAATGACAAATCTCCAACGAGGCGTTCTGGGGCAGCATAGACACATATTTTCTGTGTTAGAGTTTTACTCGCTACAGGGTGTACTTTGAGGCATTGTGACTTTGCAGACCGTTTACATGCAGAAAAGGCAACATAACACACAAGGGGACGGGTATTAATAACCAAAAAAAGCATATGATGGGACCTTTAAAAAGATAGAACTGCATGAGCAAAAAAAGCAGGGTTTGAAGTTGTGTGTGTGTGCATCAAACCTCTTTAGTGTCTTTGTCATGAAGGCGATAGCTGGTTCCGCTCTCCTGGTTACTGTGTTCATCCGCTCCTTAGGAAGAGAGAAACATTTTTCTGGTTTAAGATATACTTTATAACAGGCATGGGCAAACTAAGGCCCGCGGGCCACATACGGCCCGTTGGACCTTTTAATCCGGCCCGCGGAATATTGGTACAAAATTGTCCAAATTATAGTAATGACCGCATTAATTTTGCCTTTTTCCTGCAATTCCCGTAATTTCAGTTTATTCCACTAGATGACGCACTCTAGACACAATTGACCACTCTGCAACCCGGCAAGATCTAAGAACCGCATATGTCACCCTTACGGACCGTCCACACAGCAGCGTTAAAAAATCTTGAAACGCTTCTGCCCATTCACTTTGAATGGGGTGACGTCATTTGCCTCACTTTTCGCCGAACTGCATTGTGGGCAGGCGAGCGGAGATTTTCAGGATTTTCAGGATTCAAAGTTGAGCAATGTTCAACTTTTGAAGCTGAGGTGGAAGCGTCAGCCAATCAAATCCTGTGTATGCAAATCTGACAGTTCAAGCGCTAGCCAATCAAACCGCGTGTATGCTGGGAGAGACATACCGCAGGTCATTTCCTCATATTCCAAAAAATGGAGGAGAAATTAGCGGTAGGGAATCACCTGGTGCTTTATGACCAGTCCCTATTTACCTACCGGGATATAAACCGGAGGAGCCAGGCATGGAGGGAGGGTGGCAGAGACAGTGGTAGGTTTTCGCCTGTTTGGGGAGTTTATATCCAGTTTACTTCAAACTTTTTTGCTTCGTATGTCGGGGGCGGGAGATTCATGTGATTGGTTGTTGGTGCCTTGCTCCCAAAAAATCCCCAAGCTTCAGATACGCCCACCTCCAAGATTTTTTTAACGCTGCTGTGTGGACGGTCCGTTACAATGGAGGGGGTCGAGATTAACCTGAGCAATCATGGCGAGTACAGCGAATACAAGTTGTAACAAGTAGTAGCGCTGAGCAAAGAGACTAAAACGCGACCACACACTTATAAAAAACACTTATATAAAGTCAGGCAACACTAACCAGCTTAGTGTGATTCTGTTTATTTTACCTTACTTTAATGACCATCCGTTCGCCGTTATTGACCATTGTGAAGAGGCAGATGTTTTCCTGTTGTTTTGTATTATTGCAGCTATCGGATGGAATCAATACATGGGCTACATGTGGCCATCACAAGTAAAATCATAACGAAAACTACGCCGGTAAAATGTGCCGGCTTATGCCACAATATGATAACAAGTAGTCAATATAGTCTGATTAGCTTTGGTTGCTATGCTAACATCACCTGTAGAATGCCAGAGAAACTTTCATAACAGCGTTGTGATGCCAAACAGCGTCAATTCAGACTGACACACATTCACTGATGGGGATGGGGAATATTTATCAGCTGCTTGTGTGACAGTCAGACAGTGAACACTTTCCAGCGGCCGCTGCCGTGAGTTAACGGGGAGAATAATCTCCGGTGGACGAGCCGCGCTCCAGGCGGGCGGTAATGCCACTGAAACACATTAATAGACAATGCACCACGGCACTCTGGAGAAAGGTATAAGGCTGGAGAAGTAGTTATTTAATTTAATCTGGCTTCGTAGGATTAAAAACAACCCAACGCAGTCCTCTATTGATGTTGTGAGCGGTGTTGCGGAGAAAAGCAACCACGTAAAATGCAGTGTGGGTCTTAAGAACTTCGAAGGCACGTAAACGGTTACGTCATGACGCAAACGATGACGCAATAATTCACCTTTGAACCTAATTCACATTTGAACCTGCATTTAACAATGAGTGGACCAAAGAAAAGAAAAGTCGACAATGAGTGCCGAGTGGACAGCGAAATATTTTTTCACCGAAGTGCGATCAAAGGCTGTATGTCTTATTTGCCAAGAAACCGTTGCGGTATTCAAAGAATACAACATCAGCCGCCACTTTTCCACCAAGCATGCTAACTATGCTAGCAAACAGTCAACGCAAGAACGGGCGGCTACTGCTCAGAGGTTGGCAGCCAATTTAAAGACTCAGCAAAATATTTTTCTCCAACAAACTTCTATTCAAGAGTCAAGCACCAAGGCAAGTTATTTGCTAGCATTCAAATTAGCAAAGGCCAGCAAACCTTTCTCCGAAGGGGAGTTTTTGAAAGAATGCATGGTAGAGACAGCAGGTCTCTTGTGTCCAGAGAGCAAAAACAAATTTGAAAAAATTACTTTATCACGCAGGACAGTGACTCGCCGTGTAGAACTAAGTGACGAAGATTTGGCCAGCGAGTTAAACAAAACAGCTGAGTAATTTAAGTTATATTCGTTAGCACTGGACGAAGTACCGACGTAAAAGACACCGCTCAGCTCTTAATTTTTATCAGAGGGATTAATGACAAATTTGAGATAAGGGAGCTCAAAGGGGAGATTAGCTAATTTTTGGAGTTATTCGGGAAAGCTGACGATTTTCCAGAGCTGAGCGACGCAGATTGGCTTTGTGATTTTGCTTTTGCTGTGGACATACTGACACACATGAATGAGCTGAACACGAAGCTACAAGGGAAAGAGCAATTTGTGCACGAAATATACACAAATGTGAGAGCCTTCAAAGCCAAGTTGACTTTATTCTCAAGACAAATGTCAAACAAATCATTCGCTCATTTCCCCACACTAGCGACACTGAAAGAGGCCCCTCGACGTGTGAAGAAATACAGCAAATCGCTGGACGACCTGCACGGAGAATTCTGCCGTCGCTTTTCTGATTTTGAAAAAAATCGAAAAGTCACTTCAGCTGGTGTCATGTCCCCTGTCACAAGACTGTGAAACAGCGCCGCAGGAGTTGCAATTGGAACTGATTGATCTTCAATGTGACTCCGTCTTAAAGGAGAACTCCCTCAAACTGGAGGAGTTGTATGCATCACTAAGCGAAGCCAAGTTTCCAAACATTAGGAGGATGGCACAGAGGATGGTGGTGTTGTTTGGCTCTACCTACGTGTGTGAGCAGACGTTCAGCGTGATGAACATCAACAAATCACGCCACAGATCCCAGTTAACTGATGAAACACCTCAGATCTGTCCTGAGAATTGCCACAACCAAACTGACACCAAACTTTGATGCACTGGCAAAAAAGGGTGACCAACAACACTGTTCCCACTGAAATGAAATGTAAGTTTTCTTAACTTTTTCAGGTAATGGCTTTTACTTGTAATTTGTATTTGTTCACACAAACACTCTCCATCCATCTGCTACGACCATAAGAAGGCCCCTTTAAGACAACAAAAACAAAGTAAAGCACGCCGAATCACTACTTTCACGAACCTCCAGTTTTTGGATGGAGCTTTTGTAGTCCAGTGATTCATCCTGCTCTTGAATCGTTCCTATTAAACCCAGCAGCTTGTTTTCTTTCTTTTTCAGTGCAGTTTGAACCTCCTGCTCGATCAGCGTCTGCACCTAAATCATAAAAGAAAGAAACTCAGAAACTGAAGGTTGATATTATGATGCACTGTAATCAATTGCAAATGTTATCATGCATTTTCTTTTTAAACATTTACTAATCTCAAAATAATGTCTCTTACTTCAGATTGGGATAACTTGATCTTTTATCACTGGGGTCCAGAGGAATCTGAATGCTTGGTAAAATGCATGATCTGTTTGGTATTTTGAAAAAAAAAAAAGTATAAATATGCCTTATATAGGTATGGTCCTACACTATATTATTCAAATATAGCATGATAGGTCCACTTTAATTAATAAGCGAGAAATACGCTGCTTAAGGAATCTGTCATAACAGTTACCTTCACACTTAGACAGTAAAAGCTAAACAGTGTTTAGTGTTTTACTATGGCAACATTAAGCAGAAGGGCATGCTGATACTTGACAACCCAACCGCTGTATGTACGTAGATTAAAAAACTGGCAAGATACAAATATTTATGAAGCTGTTCTGCAAACAGAATGCTCTTGAGGGTTAATCTCACTGATCGAGTAGAATAAGAGCCAAACTCTTCATCACTTTTTAATCCTTTTGAGGCCTTCACTTCACTCCACGTTCAAACGCTGATCCAATGTTCACTCGAGCATCTCCCGCTAGCTTCGTTTGCTTTGGAGAAGACAGTGTAGGACTCTTTCGTTTGGGGGAAGGTTTAAACGTCTTCTGATCTGCTCTTGAGCGTGTGCGAGGAGTTCGATCTCGGGCATCTGCCATTATGTAACTATACTAAAGAATGCAGAAAGTGAGAGAGGGAAAGGACACTGTCATCAGTCCATCACCTGGCATTAACAACAGCCACTGTTAGATCTGTTCTGTTGTCAGACATTATTGGATTAGTTTCAACTACATCTCTATACTGCAAGAAAACTACTTTTTAGATATCTGTAACAAAATAACCTGGTAAAGAACATTACAATGGAAATCCATGGTTTTAGAGAAGGGATTCATATATTATTTTAGTTTTACAGAATGTTAGCAACAGTCAAATATAACAAACTTTTACAAACTGTGTTGGAGAAAATACTGAATGTACTCTTTAAAGGACAGAGGTGCACATGATAACAAAGGCCAAACTGTAACAGTGAGTGTATATGACAGGATGTATGATTACCTAGAAGAGTGTCAGGACACACTGTTTTAGGCACCTGATAGCTATGTGATTAACATGATGATTCAGCCTCTAGGGAGATAGACATATGACATGCATGATTATTTCTGACGTGGGCCTCAACTAATTTGAACTAAACATTGTTTACTGCTTTGAACCGGTATTCCTCCATCTTGTGACTGTGATACACCCTCTCTTGTATATAAGCATTGAAGGACACTGTTCGGGCGGAATTAGTTGTACCATATGCTGTATGAGATAACTACTTCCATTCTTGCAAGGATAATAATACATGTATCATGTTTTAAAACTCAAGCCAGTTTTTCCCACGGTTATGGCCTTGTACACAACACACAACACGGCCAGCTTCAATAGTCCATAGTGTGTGATTCTTTCAATATTGGTTATTTGTCTCACCTTTCAGTATGTGCAGTAGGCAAGTCCTTAACTTCTTTGCAATGTTGCAAGGAATTCTGTAAACACAACACTAACACAGAAAATAGTACACATTCAGAGCAATTTATAATGCAAATTCCACATTTCTGCATGTGTCCAATGGCTGCATCTATGACAACCATCTTTCCATACAGGAGTTGCAATAATCTGATTAATATTTATATTTGAAGTCAACTCTGGTGTCACACATACATGATGACACTTCAAAAAAGTACATTTGGATCTCAGTCTGACTACCGACTACAATAGATTTAATTTAACACAAATCAGTGTGTAATTTAAGTGTAACTGAAATATATGTATTTAGGATAAACCCCTTGAGATAAAACATCTCGTTTTCAAGGGGACTTCAAATGTAGCACAAACAGCAACACAGCACAAAACTAAATCAAGTCCCATACAAGCTGCATACAAGACGACTACAAACACAACACAACAATTAGAGATTACACATTTGAACATAACAACTATAGAGTGGCGAAGTCACGCCCATCTACTTCCGACCCATGGGACCTTATTTCGGAAAAATAATTGTATTTTTTTTTTTATAAGTCAATGAAGAGAGAAAACGTATCCTTTCGATCCCCGTTTTTGAATTGTGCCATGAATTACACATATGATGTTTGTCAATCTTAAAAAATCCTTTCCATGTCAAAAAGTCACAGTTTGTCGTAAAACGTTTGAAATATAAGACTATGAAAAATACGCAACTAGAAAGACTACAAATCCCAGAGTCGCGTACGTGATGTCACAATTGTTTTCCCTCCACTAGAGATAGCTAAAATCAGCGCCATAGGCTAGATAAGATTACTTTAACAAGATGCCTGTGTGCTTAGTACCAGGTTGTTATCATACCAGCAATGGGTCTTGCTTGTTCTTTCGCTTTCCCGTCTGATGAAAGGACCAGGAGTGTCTGGATCAAGCTAGCTAGTAGCTAGCACGTTAGTTAGCATTACAGCCTTGTCATTTTTATTAGCCTTAACATGAAGTAAACATTAAGTAACCCAAAATTGTTAAACAGTAAGAGTAGTAGGGCATATTTCGTGAACCCTTTGAATAGTACTGTCACCGGTGTGATCATTCTATAATACACCCATTTAAGCCCGGGGGAGAAATGCTAACGCTAACGCTAGCATCGGCGATCTTCTCTACTTCATGCTATCTGCACAAATGGTTGACATTAAACATTAAAACGACCAGGCAGTCAGAGTGAATCAAAGGAAGGCAGGCAGGCAGCTTTGCATGACATTCTTCAGGACGTGTTTCATTGTGGTGATAGTGAGGGTAGTCAATCGTTTTATTGACAAGACAGTAGTGACGGCCATCTTGGTGCCGTGTTTGCTCTGTGAGACCAGAGATGTAGTTCATTGAGCGTTTCACACAAACAAATGTGTTACTTCACAGTTTTACGACACTTTTTTTTTTTTTGACTTGCAAAATTATCTTTTAAATTGAAAAACATCATATGTGTAATTTGTGTGGCACAATTCAAACGGGATCGAAAGATAATCTTTCTTTCTCCATTGACTTCAATACATAATTTTTCCGAAATAAGGTCCCATGGAGGTCCACCGGAAGGGGAAGGACTTCGCCACTCTATAAGGCCACAGGCCGTTTCTCAATCGCGAGGATGCTGGCTTGGTAGCACAGCCGAGCCGAGCATCTTGCTTCAGAAGCAAGGCAAGAATACTTCCTGCTATTCGGAAAACGAAGAGTGGAACAGGCTAGCAAGTGTGCAGGTGTGCGTCATATGAGAGGCCCCGCCTTACATCTTCCGCCACAGATTTGGGGAAATTGGTCCATGCGCAAAGCATTGTGGGGATTTTAAGGACGCAAAGTCTACCCATGTGCAGCCTCGAAATTCCCCCCAAACCAAGGACGCGGCCTCGGTGGAATTCCAAGTATGCTGGAGATTGGAACAGTCCTTCGGCGGCACTCGATGACGTAGCATCCTTGAAATATTGGCTTGGAAGCCAATATCCTCGCGATTGAAATATATGTATTTAGGATAAACCCCTTGAGATAAAACATCTCGTTTTCAAGGGGGACTTCAAATGTAGCACAAACAGCAACACAGCAAAAACTAAATCAAGTCCCATACAAGCTGCATACAAGACGACTACAAACACAACACAACAATTAGAGATTACACATTTGAACATAACAACTATAAGGCCACAGAGAGGCCATGAACCAATGCATTATACATTGTGTTACCCTTGCTTATGTAAAATATATATTCTTCAGTCATCCAACATAAATCATAAACTGATTTGCTCAATTGGATACCCTCCATTTTTAGGTCTTATTTTTAATACAGCAATAAGCTGGTTACACTTACATGTTCTTTATATAGAGTTGATGGAAAAGAAAACATGTTAAATCATCATCATTATATATACTTGCATTAATATTAAATACAATAGAGCTGCAATCTGAACTTTGTTATTACGTTTTATATTAAATTGTCATTCAGATTCATTAATACTTCTGTTTCTTTTGAGAGGGGGCATACTGAGGACATTTGTCACAATACCAGCTTCCTTTGGCGGAAAATGGTTATGTGCCTTAAGCCTTAAGTGCCTCGTCAGTTCCTCCATGTTGTACATGTAATGTATCTAAATCAGTGCTGCAAATACGGGTCCACCGAACCAATCGACGCACATGTGTTAAGATAACCTGTCTTATTTTACGGGTTTAATGGCTCGTAGCAGCCCTTCCTTCTCGCTCGCCCGAGTCGCCTGGTAATCCAAGCGCTCTTTCCTTTTCTTTTGTACATCCATAGTTATATCGGAGAGCCTCGTGAAGTCATTAGGAAGCCTCTATGCTCAGTGAGCATAGAGGCTTCCTAATGACGCTAAAACTATTGTGAGCATTGCTCTCAATAGTTTTAGCATTAGCAACCGTTAGCCGAAGCTTCTATTAAATATTCCTTTGACTAGCAACGAGCTGGTAAACAAGTAACAAGTAAGCTGTATAACGTTAGCTCACAAGACTCTACCACACATATCGAACGATTTAAAGTATGATTTAGTAGTCATGATTGTATGTACCTCCTTTTCCGTTTGATGGTTTCCTGTTTGAGATATAAATAGTGAGCCCTTCTTCTTCTTCTTTGATGTTTATTGGCGGTTGGCAAACCAACTTGTAGGTGCATTACCGCCACCAACTGGAGTGTGGACAAGAGACTATGCAGAAATCAATAAACAAAAGAAATAAAATATAATAAAGAACCAAAACTCTAGATTATTTTAAATGTATCAATTCCTCTTAGAAACGTAATAATCTCACAATACATATTGCCTGATGTTTTCCCTAACAGCCCTGATAGCAACAAGTCATGGAATTTTGCTTTCTTCAGTGTCTGGAAAAGCACATTTCTCTGAGTACTATATTTCCTGCAAAGCAGTAAAACATGCTCAACAGTTTCTGGCTGGCTACAGTGTATACACTTTCCGGTTGGATGCTTTCCTATTACTTAATGTAGATTGAGCCCTGTATGACCTATTCTCATCCGAGAAATGACATTTTCCTCCCTTCTTTTAAACCCCCCTTCCTTCCATCCCCCACATACCTTTGAATTTTATAAAGATGTCTTCCTGTATCACTAAGGTCCCAATGTTCTTGCCATGTTGTTTGTGCATATTTCTGTATGAATGTTTTAACCTCCGCTTTGCTAAGTGGAACTTCTATGTCTATGTTCATAATTCTGAGTGTTTGTTTGGCCAGAATATCCACCTGTTCATTACCCTCCACACCAACATGAGCAGGAACCCAGATGAAACGAGTTGCTATGCCTTTGATTTGCATTTTATATAAAATTAGAAATATTTCATTTATTATGTCCAAGCCTGATCGTATACTCGATAATGCTGAAAAACTGTCGATGCAATTACACTATTATGTATTTCTTTCTCCTCTATCCATTTCAATGCCAACACCAATGCCACAACTCTGTGGTGTACTGACACATGGTCTGTTACCCTTTTCTTTATATGTGTATTACTGCTGCCCCTGCACGCCCTGTCTCTGGATCTTTGGAGCCATCTGTAAATATGATTGTTGAGTCTGAGTGATATACTTGCAAAATAATTCTGGACTATGCGCCATACTGGTAGTAGTTCTTTCTTTTCCTTCAACTCTTTGTATATTGAGGTCTACCCTTGGCAATGGGAATAACCAGGGTGGAATGGACGAGATTGGAACTGTGGGGCAATACTGTATTTATTCAAACCTATACTTGCTGCTTTAAACATCGCCAATCCATCCAAAACTTGTTAAATGTGACTCATTGTGCTCCCAGCAGTCTTTCAAAATACTTTTCGCAGGATGACTATCACAATGCCCCTGAAGGTTTACCCAGTATGCCAACATTAACTTAACTCTTCTTATCCTTAAAGGCATTTCTCCCATTTCCACCTGTTGCTGATACTGGAGATGTTTTAAAAGCTCCACAAATTCTCAGGGCCTGAGCTTGTAGGACATCCAGTTTTTTAAGGTTTGATTCTGCTGCTGCCATGAACGCTATACACCCATAATCTACTACAGGTCTCATGAGTGCCCAATATATATTCAGAAGTGATGATCTACTCGCTCCCCACTCCTGTCCCGCCAAACACCGAAGTACATTGTTGACCTTTTTACATTTATTTTGAACTTTCCTATATGATTGCTCCATTAGCTTTCCGTCAAACCAAACACCAAGAAATCTTATTGTATTAACCTGTTCAAGAGGTTGCTCATACAATTTTAACGATATAGGAGCAATTTTATGCCGTTTTGTAAAACAAATGACCTGCGTTTAGCTACTGACAGTTTGAATCCCCATTTATTTGTCCATTTCTCCACTTCAACTATTGCAGCTTGTATTTTCTTTCCAACATGTGCTACATTGCGACCTTTTGCCCACAAAGCCCCATCATCTGCATACAAAGATTTTCCCACACTTGGATGAACTTGATTAAAAATGTCATGTATCATTATATTGAACAGCAACGGACTACATACACTACCTTGCGGAGTACCATTTCCACAGCATAAACACTTGAATACTCTGCACCTACTCTTACTTGTATTTTCCTGTCCAGTAAAAAATTCATAACCCAATTATATGCTTTACCACCAATTCCCAATGATTTTAACTTGATTAGTAGTCCTTCCTTCCAGAGCATGTCATAAGCCTTTTCAATATCAAAGAAGACTGCAATCACTACTTCCTTGTTGGTCTGTGCTTCCTGATGTCTGATTCTAAGCACAATATAGAATCCATTGTATTCCGACCCCTACGAACACTTTGATATGGGGACAACAGAGCTTTACTTTCTAAGATATATGTTAACCTTTCTGTAACCATTCTTTCCATAATTTTGCATAAATGAGATGTCAGGGCAATAGGTCTGTAGCTAGATGGATCTGAAGGGTCTTTCCCTGGCTTTAGGATGGGCACTATTATCGCTTGTTTCCCATAGATATATATGCGCGAGACATCTTCTTCTTAAATAATGTCGATTCACAACCAGTTGGAGCATTGTCGCCACCTACTGTTGTAAATTATTCTTGTCATAATAGAGTGGTATAGTGACGCGTCCTAAAACCCAGAAGTAAGCTTCTTCCGGTTCCCTCGACAAAAAGCAATGCAATTTCTCCATAGGATTTTGGAAAATAGCTCGAAATAAGGTGATGTTAAGAGCATTCCATGGAATATAACAAAAAGTGTATCTCGAGCCGGTTTCTCAAACTTACCTACCCTACCTTTAACATCCCGAAAGCAATGAATATCTTAAGTGCTTTGACAAAAAATCCATACAAATATTTCATCTGTGGAAGCCGTAGTACTGTAAAAAGCACGACCAATCATTTTAGCCGGCCCGGCTAAAATAACTGGATGGCCTACCTGCCTGTCAGCCTTCCATCTGTGCACAAACTTATCTCGTGCCCTCATTTGTCATGTGCGCGTTCGTGTGTGTTGGAGGAGGGGCTCTGTAAGGAAGTGGCAGATTTTCTCCGGTTGTGTATTTTCAAATTCTAGCAATCTCGAGCCGGTTTCTCAAACTTACCTACCCTACCTTTAAGCAGTATTCTGAATCTTAGTTCAGATTAGCTAAGGCCTGCGTAAGCAATAAACAAATGTCTATCTCCCTAAAGGCCGCTACACACCCACCTGAGACCAAAGAACGCGTACCGAAGGCGTCCCGACTTTTACGTCAGCTACGTCGCCTGCGTCGGCTACGCCGCCCGCTACGCCGCCCGCCTACGAAACACCGCAAATACTTCAGTCGACGAGTGGCAATAACTGTCCTTACCAGCAGGCAGCGGTAGTGTGAACAGCCAACCAGAGTAATTGCTTGGGCCGACTATCTCTGACCTCCCGCGGGAGGTGTCAAAAGGTGCCGTAAAGAGACGACGGTGAGGGACACACCAACCTGAGTAGGGCGCCGTGAATGCCCGACTGCCTCTGACGGCCTCTGACTCCCAAAATCGGGTTGGTGTGTAGCCAGCTTAAGGGCTGAATCATCATGTTAATCGTTGTCACATACAGTAGCTATCATATGCCTAAAAACAGTGTGTCCTGACGCTCTTCTAGGTAATCCTACATCCTGTTACGTACACAGCTACGTAGGGCCTTTGTTATCATGTGCTACTCTGATATTGGAAGAGTACATTCATTTCATTTAGTTACTGGGGTAGTAACTATAGTAACGCAGTGTGGCGGGGCGATCAGCTGTTCGGCGGGCGGAGCGACGCTGCATAAAACTGCCGTGACGTCATCTTCAATGCGAACCACAAAACCAAAACATCAGCCATTAGCTGTTAGCCCTCAGAGCTCACAGCTCCTCATATCTGTTCAGAAACTAGACAAAAGTTAAACAAGTACAAACCACATACTGTCTGTGTCATGGCGAATACAGTCGCTGGTTTATTTATGTCTGTAGGCCGTTGTTGTGAGTGTGGACGGAGCATATACAACGTTAGCTTAGCCTGATCGATCCGATCTCCATTCAGAAAACCAAAAAAAAGGGTTTCTCCTGCCGTCTTGTCTGCAGACTTGTCAAAGCATTAATTCATGGTTTTTACTAACCGGTATCAGTATGTTGTTACTTCGGCATTACATTACATTGCATTTAGCTGACGCTTTTATCCAAAGCGACTTACAATAAGTGCATTCGACCAGGAAGATACAAACTTGAAGAAAACAGAATCATATAAGTACATCAGGTTTCATAGAGCTAAAACATTTAAAGTGCTACTCAACTGGCTTTAGATAAGCCAGTCCTTTATTAGTATATAACTGCTTTGTTAGCAATTCTTTGTTAGTAATTCTATCGCTCGAAGTGGAGTCGAAAGAGATGAGTTTTCAGTCTGCGCCGGAAGATGTGTAGGCTTTCTGCTGTCCTGATTTCAATGGGGAGCTCATTCCACCATTTTGGAGCCAGGATAGCAAACCGACGTGTTTTTTCTGATGGGAACTTGGGTCCCCCTTGCAGTGCTCGTGCAGCGAGCCGTTTGGCCGATGCAGAGCGGAGTGCACGTGCTGGGGTGTATGCTTTAACCATGTCCTGGATGTAGGAAGGGCCAGATCAGATTTTGTTGTAGTTGTAGCCCCCTTGCCAGCAATTCTCTCTGACCAATCAGCAGTCGAGAGTGTTTACGTCACTAGGTTTGCATATTCAGCCCGGTTGTTGGCCCGGTAAGAACCTTGATTTTGGAGGGCCAGAAAAAAGGTAAAAAAGTAGCCCTGTGCCGGAACTACCCCTAGAGGAAAAGCAACAAAAGAAACCGTGCTACGTGCTGCATTGGAAAAGCGCCATAAGTCTGTGCACCAACAAGGGAGGCCAAAGTCTAAACCACGGTCCCCCCCATCTAGGCTCAACCAATCATAAATGTACGGGCAGAGGCCTGAATAATAAAATGTATGCACGCACAAGGTTCAAGGCTTTTTTCCGGAAAAATAGTTACAGATTACAGCTCTGCTGCCTGTGATTTCTATGACCTGACGGAGTCCTTGGCCAAGTGAAATATATCTTTTGCTCTCTTTTAATAAATAGTTGAACTTAGAAATTGTTTGTCTTTCCTGGAATAAAAGAACACGACAATCACCA